TTTTTTTTGTAGACGTATAATCGAATTAGGTGCTGGTTCTGGTTTACTTGGTTTAACTTTATTAAAATATTCTGATAAAATTTTATCATATACATTTACTGATTATTCTTCAATGATTTTAAATTTATTACGACAAAATATTTTACTTAATTTTTCAGATGATATATTCAATGTAATCAAAATAAGAATAATATAAATAATTTATTTTATTTTATTTTATTTAGAAACAAATAAAAATTGAAGAATTAAATTGGAATCAATATTCAATAGATGAGAATAATCAAAATTGTTATAATTTTATTTTAGCTACAGGTAAATAAATAAATATATTACATTATCAATATTTTTCTTTACAATTAGATGTTGTTTATGATCCATCAGTTATTGAAAATTTAGTAAAAGTAATTAAAATTCTTTTACAAATAAATAAACAATGTTCAGCTTATATTGCAAATGCTATTCGTAATGAATCAACATATAATCAATTTCGACAAGCATTAAGTATAATATTTCGATTTTTACAAAAAAAAACCACAACAAATATTATTATTATTTTTGTTTTTTATCTAGATCTATCATCTTTGAATATTTGTTCTATTGATACAGATATTATTCAATCTATTGAAATTCTTCAACTTACTATTTCATCTTAAAATATTTTTGTTGTTAATAAACTAAAAATCAAGAATTTTAAGTATTCATATACCCTATATCTTTTAATTTGATTAATAATAACATTAAATATCAATACAATATGAAGATTAATGGATGTATCATCATAATCTTTTCGGAATTATAAATAAAATAATTTATTGTTAAAATTTTGCAATTGAGAGTGAAAACGAATCGATCCAGTAAAATTCAATTCGATTCGGTCTCTGTGTAATATATCTTTATCGGCGACTATTCTTCATTACACTGACACATTTTCACTAAAGCTGCACATCTCTATTCGTTCTATTTATACTTTAAGTAGAATTCGGGGTTTCAAAAACGTGGAACGAAACTAAAACTATCAAATCATCACATACATACAAAAATCTTTAAATCTATATCGATAATCAAATACAAATACATAAATATTCAGCTATACTGGCTTGACTATTCTTTTTTTTTTTATAACAAATAATTTGTTAACATTAAAACAAAATAAAAATGACTATAATTTAGATTTTTTTTGTCTCCCAGAAAAATACATATACATAAAAAAAACAATCAGCGGGTATAAAAATATCTGTGTTATATATATACAGAAATAAAATAAAAAGATCTATTTTTTATCAAATTGACCTGTAAGTACTTGTACAACATAATTAATTGTCATTGGATGTCTTAAAATAGCTAGATGTTCAACACCAGGTAATTCTAATGTATGAATATCTTGTTTTTGTTTATTTTTCCAATTTTTAAATCCAAGTAAACTTCTTAAATTTACTGTTCCATCACCATCATCAGGTAAAATAGCTGGTTGTAAATCTGGAAATGAATGATTATTATATAAAAGTACACCGGGTGTAGGCATTTGTGAACTATATATTTCATGTAATTCAATATTAGGTGGTTTTAATTCTTCTAATAAATTTTTATTATTAAGCCAATATTCATATCCAATTGGATATTCTATATCATCAAAAAATTCTTTATATTGATAAACTGTATAATTACGTGTTGGTGCAACAATAACTATTTCATCTTTTGTCCAAAAATTAACACTTGGCATAACAAATGCAGTTGATGGTGCCGAACGTTGATAAGGACGAACACGAATTGGTGAAACGACATAAACCTGAAATGAATAATTAATGAGCAAAAAGAAAACAAAATTCAAGACAAATCCTTCAAGATGAACCGGCGCATCTTTGATAAAACTTTTAGTGTAATATCGGACTTCAAAAAAACTTTCTCTTAACAATCAGTCGTCTGAAGATTCGATCAAGTTTTGAAACCAAAATTTTTATCGTACGATTATCTAGAGAGATTTTAATGAAGGATTTGTACTGTTTTAAATAGCTTTTGAATTCATCTGATTCAAGTAGAGAGCTGCGGGTCCATGTTTTTTTGGACTCGGACCCCAGAAAAACTAAATTTTCAGACCCGATCCTTTTTTCACCAATATTTGGCACCCTATGAGTACATGAACAGAAAAGGAAACACAATTTTAGCTCTTTATTGGCAACTTTAAAGGTAAAATGAGTGTAAAATTATTTCTGACTGTTTCTTTTTCAATTTTGTTGACTTCAATTGTTATTGTTATATATTTCCATTCATAACTTAATGCAGACCGGGTCTGACGTTTCTCTTAGGTTTAGACCCGGACCCAGACCCAGTCGGGCCCGGGTCCGGAAGGATCCGCAGCTCTCTAGATTCAAGCCTTTGTATGGGTAAAGCTTAAAATTTTGATTCTACTTAAAAGGAAAGTTCTGTAGAAAAATTACACTAAAATGTCTATATCTCATACTCTACTTGTGGACAAAATTTTTATTGTAAGTAGTAGTAATACTAACTAATGAAAAAAAAAATAATTTTTTATTTAATATCTTACATCAATATTATCACCACTAGCCATCAAACGAAGAGCTTTTATAGCACCACCCCATGGTGCTGCAATATTGATCATTGAATGAATATATTTTTCTTTAAAACTATTTGTTTGTTGATGAAGCCAATATAATGCAAATGGACCTAAATTAATTTTTTTTTTATTTATAACGCTAATTATTTTTAAAAAGAATAATTAACCTCCCATACTATGTGTTATAAATATAATTTTAGTTTGATTATTTTTTTCATAAGTATCTATTACAAGTTGTGTTAAATTATTTAAATAATCATCTTGTTCATCAAGACCACGTCGAAAATCATATCTAATTATCAAAATAAATTTATTTGATTAATTTAATTAAAATAAATTCTTACGGTGCTCCACGTAGATTAATACCACGTGTATAACCAAGTGTAACAAGACTTCTTATCATAGGTGCAAAATAAGATGAATAAGAATAACTTGAAGAATCAAAATATTCAATAGTTGATGTTTCACCAAAACCTGGTATTTGTATGTCTATACCTTCTAAATTTGATGTTTTTTTTGTTGTTGAATTATATGTTAAACGCATATTATCAATAAAACAATCGATAACTTCAGGTAATAGTAGACGAACATTGAACCATAATTCAAACCAATCTGAATGACGAGCACAAAAAAAATGTGGTGTAGGAGTTGTACGATTTAATCGTGCCCAAATTTGTGATCCACCATTGCCAGGAATAAATATAGCTGGATAATGAATATTATTACTATTGATATTAGCATAAATACAAATGAAAGACAAAAGAAAAAGATACCAATGACATATATACATGAAAAATCTAGAAAAACACAAAGTTTTATTTATTATTAAAATAGTATCTTTTTTTTTCTAAGTTTTTATTATGTAATATAATGCACTTTTTTTGTTTGCATGAAATATTCGATCAACCAATCAGCATGGTTTTTAGAAGAACAACTGAAAATAGGATTTCAAAGGCCAGATGATTTTTAACGAATGAAGTTTTAGTTATGATCCACTATTGTAGTAAGATTATTGCTAGGCGAATTGGCATCCTATATTGCTTTTCTTTTAATTTGTAGATTATTTTAAATACATCTATATAATTAATTTAATGATTGAGAATACCCGAGTGATCAGCGGCATCTAACGAAGAAATCTCGTATCTAGTTTTACCACAGTCATTCTCTTTCTTTCGTACAAATGCAAGTATTGTAAGTCAGCTCAAATCTTTCATATCTATTACTGATAAAAAAATTTGAATATGCGATGTGCTTCCATTAATAATGAGTATGGCAAACAAATTTATCTCTGATAAAAAAAATCGATTAACTTCTAAAAATTTTTTCACAGTAGTCCATCCTAACTAGGAAACGATTCTGACTGATACCCGCCGTTTGAGTCCAGATTGAGTTCACAAGAAGGTCTCGGTAAGATTAAAAAATCCTCAAAGAGCTCGTTGGCATGCGATTCTGTAGTATAACTATGACGATTTTTCTGAACGTTTTGGTCCAACTTTAAGAGTTTACCAAAAAAAATTGAATAATAGAATTTCGACCTGAAGTTTTGCCCATAGATAGGCCTGATGAGTCTGGGAATATTTTGTAAGTTTCATCTGAAAAGAATGTTCTTTTCTCCAAATATTGAGTTTCCTAAAAACGAGTTTACTTGAGAATTCAATATCTTGACCAAGGAACATCAGTTTCGTCTGAAACTTTCGAAATACTCCTAGACTTATCAGACGTATCTATAGGCTGAATTTTAGATTGATATTTGATTATTTGGTTTTTCAGAAAAAAATTACAACTACACTGGCAATGCAGCTAAATGACCGTAACTCAGACCTACCAGTTCCTGGGCACTAACTCTGTTAGACTTTTTTAGTCTTACCAAGACTTCTTTGTCCACAATTTATGAGCTCAAACAGAGGTTATCAGTTCGGATACTTCCTGCGTAAGTGATTTTGAGTAAAACTGTAACATATTCAATCAAGATGTCAAAACTGAATACGAAATAGCACCATTTCTCCATTTTTTTGCGTTCCTTTAGACGAAAGTCTAACATGCAATTATTCAAACCATAATGTGAAACAATTTTTGTGTTCTTCTTCAAAAAAACACTTGAGTATCGAACGGTGAAAAAATACTTCATTTTTCTTATTATTTTTGTCAGCAACAACGAAGCAAACAATCTTTTTCACTTTACTCCATGTCTCAATCATGTGCTGTTTACGAATGCAAACGTGCATCGCGTGCATTGTGTCATTGTTGTCAACAGAATCTCTGTATACCTCATTTAACTGAACATAATGATTTATTGAATTCTCAACTAAATCCACTCATCGATGAAGTTAATTCACTTGGAGATCGATTAAAGACACTTGATATTCAAGAAAAAACGAGAGAATGCCGTCAAAAACTTGAACAATGGAGAATAGATTGTCATCAACAGATTGATTCATTTTTTGAAGAGAAACGCAAACAACTCAATCAACTTGTTGAGAAAAAAGTTGAGAAACAACGACAAGAAATTACACGAATACAATCGAAACTATCGGAACTCATTCGTGAACAAGAAGCAACTCGACAAGATATTGATATACTAACATCAACTATTAGTCATCTTCAAAACAAAATGAGTAATATCGAACAAAGTTCTATTCATATAAACATTCGTCCATTAGTTATCGACACTAATTGTATTCGTATAAATGATACCAATTATCATGGTTTTGATTTGTCTACACTTTCACCTGTTTATAAAACAATCAATTGTGCTGATGGAACTTTCAGAGCATTGGCAAGCAACGATCAATATTTGTTATTTCATGATGCACCAAATCTATGTTTACTCGATCAAAACTTGACAGTAGTTAGAAAAAATTTATGGGATCACGGAAATATTTTTGATATGTGTTGGTCATCAACATTAAAACAATTTATTGTAATTGAACAAAATGATATTTATCTTGTCAATGAAAACACGATGTCAATTGAACGTATAGAAACAATAAAAAAAGAAAAATGGATGTCATGTACTTGTTCTGATACATCACTATTTTTATCAACTAGAGTTTATGGTTCATCGATATTGGAATTCAGTCTATTACCTGCAATAAACTTAATTAGGGAATTGAAATATCCTGATTCATGTATGGAAACTGAGCTTATCACTTGTATAGAGTACAATAATGAAACACTTGCATTATTAATTAGGAATCATGTGAATAAAACTATGAGAATAGAGTTAAAATCTTCAATAACATTTGACCGTATTTGGTCACTTCAACTGGATATAGTGTGGAACAAAGAGAAAACTATTCGATGTTGTTCATTGATTGATGATGAGTGGCTTATAGCTGATCATGAAAATAATCGTTTAATACATGTTTCAAAAGGTGGAACCGTAAAGACAATGTTAACATATACTGATACTCCTTGGTTTGTTAACCTGTTTGGCTCAGATATGTTGATCGTATCACTTGTGACTTTCAGACTGAACTTTCATAAACTAAATAACGATTTTTGAGAAGTATTATTTTTTATTAAGTTTTCTTTATTTCATAATCATGAATTCAATAATTGTTTTAAATAATAGAACTTTTGTTTCTGTGCTACAAAAACAAATCGAGACTAAATAATGATTCGTTTTAAACGAGTGATGTTCATAATTATACAGCTTCAATAATGTATCTAACAGGAATGTTGACATACTGATCCATTTTGATTCAATCTGGCCGTGTCACGGTCAGTGCACAGTTTCCACATCTAACGGATCACGGGTTAGGTATCGTTATAATTTACAAGTTTCCTGGGTTGAGTTATGCTTTCACGCGTAACCCGCGAGTTCAACTCTTTTACAAAACCTATTTTTCATTCTCTTCATCGTTTTCATGAGAGGTTAGTGACTCTTCAATCTGTAAACTAGTCTGTGAGTCGAAGAAAATAACCATTCAGCTCATAAGACTGCTTGAATTCGGTCTCCAACGGGCCACGTTTCGAAATTCGACGCTTCTGAAGGATGAAGGATCTTAATGAACAGAATTTTAACACTGTTTTGGTAAGTGAATAAATTCCTAATATGAGTCACTATTGATAAAAAATAAAATAGATAAATTATTCATTGTTGATATCACGTATAAGACTAATGATATATTCGTAGTTGTTTCAACAACTGTCATGTGTTGGGCATGATTTTGAAGAGAACCAATAATATGCTCAGTACCGTATTCTGACTATGATATACAAATTATCAGTAAATAAAACAAACTATTAGTATAAAATTTAGTGGTCAATAACTATTATGTTCTTTCAATAAATTAATCATTTATCGGTATGATTGTGTGACTACAGACGTGGGTGGTGTTATCAGGAAAGTCGACGTCGGCCTCAACATCCATAGCATATCAACACAACACACATCCCACGCCTACATCCTATTTCGCTTTAGTTTGGATGAAAGTCTAGTATGTTCTTCTTCAAACAAAAGAGACGTTTAAGTATAGAACGATGAAAATATACTTCATTATTCTTATCTAAGCAACCAACAACGACACGAACAATCTTTTTTTCTTTTTTTACTTCATTCAATGTCTCAACAATGTGCTATCGTCGGATGCAAACGTACATCGCGCGCATTATGTCATTGTTGTCAACAGAATCTCTGTATACCTCATTTAACTGAACATAATGATTTATTGAATTCTCAATTAAATCCTCTCATCGATGAAGTTAATTCACTTGGAGATCGATTAAAGACACTTGATATTCAAGAAAAAACGAGACACTATCGTCAAAAACTTGAACAATGGAGAATAGATTGTCATCAACAGATTGATTCATTTTTTGAAAAGAAATGTCAACAACTCAATCAGTTTGTTGAGGAAAAAGTTGAGAAACAAAGAGAAGAAATTACACGAATACAATCAAAACTATCGGAACTCATTCGTGAACAAGAAGCAACTCGACAAGATATTGATATACTAACATCAACTATTAGTCAACTTCAAAAAGAAATGAGTAACATCGAACAAAGTTCTATTCATATAAACATTCGTCCATTAGTTATCGACACCAATTGTATTCGTATAAATGATACAAATTATCATGGTTTTGATTTGTCGATACTCTCACCGGTTTATAAAACAATCAATCGTTCTAATAGAAGTTCTAGAGAATTGGCAAGCAACGATCAATACTTGTTATTTCATGATGCACCTAATCTATGTTTACTTGATCAAAACTTGACAGTAGTTAAGAAGAGTTCATGGGATCATGGGCAGATTTATGATATGTGTTGGTCATCAACATTAAAACAATTTATTGTAATTGAACTAAATGATATTTATCTTGTCAATGAAAATACAATGTCGATTGAACGTATAGAAACAATAAAAAAAGAAAGATGGATGTCATGTACTTGTTCTGATACATCTCTATATTTATCAACTAGAGTTCATGGTTCATCGATTTTAGAATTCAGTCTATTACCTGCAATAAATTTAATTAGGGAATTGAAATATCCTGATTCATGTATGGAAACTGAAGATATTACTTGTATAGAGTACAATAATGAAACACTTGCATTATTAATCAGAAATCATGTGAATAAAACTATGAGAATAGAATTGAAATCTTCAATAACATTTGAGCGTATTTGGTCACTTCAACTGGATATAATGTGTAACAAAGAGAAAACAATTCGATGCTGTTCATTGATTGATGATGAGTGGCTTATAGCTGATCATGAAAATAATCGTTTAATACATGTTTCAAAAGGTGGAACTGTAAAGACAATGTTAACATATAACGATATTCCTTTGTTTGTTAACTTGTTTGGTTTAAATATTTTGGCTGTATCAGTAAAAAATTTTAAACTAAACTTTCACAAACTAAGAAACGACTTTTGAGAAGTATTATTTTTTTTTTTATTAAGTTTTCATTAAAGATGGCATGAATTATTGTATTAAATAAAGCTTTTATTTTGTTTTTCTACAAAAATAAATCGCGAGTAAATAATGATTGATTTAAAACGAGTGATGTTCAGAAATTTACTGCTGCAATAAGATATGCAAGAATCTTTTTTCCAAATTATCAGATAGAAATATGTGACATCTTTAAACTCATTAAGTCAAGAGTGAAAGATGCTCCCACAAGATTTAAAATTATCGTATCGATGGATCTGGTAATTTCAAGCTTTCGATTCCGAATAATTTTTAGAATCGTCGAACTCTATTTATGAGTTCGACTGCAATACTCTAACTTTAATGAATTTCCAATAAAATAATAATCATTAGGTTGATTCTGATGTTTTTTTGTCCAGTAAAATAGAAACAAATCTTAAGAAATATATCATGACGATGAAAAATTGTTTATTTCAGTTGTAACAGACTGTTTTCATATCACTCTACGACGGCATAATCAATCCTATAAAAAGAATCGTTTTTTCGGATGTTACATATTGCCACATTCTTTTGACATATATTTTACCATCATTCATTATGTTGTAAAATTAACGTTTATTATAATGTTGTTTATACATATTTCTCGGACGTGCCTATTCATCAATATATCTTACAGTTCCGAATAATCATACTTATCCGGAAATCAACCGAACTGATACTTGCCGTTCGAGTTTATCTTGAGCCTAGAATGACGCCTTCGAGAAACCAAAACAAATATACAAGGATTGATTCCTGTGGGCTCTTGTAGTTTTGACATCAAATATTGCCCGTAGATATATCTAATGATCTGTAAAATAACCTGAACATTTCAATCGAAAAGAATATTATTTTACTGAGATATTTTCGACATCAAACTATCGAAAAAGACATTTTAAATAAGCAACTGAACAATTACAAAAGTTTAGACAGAGCTATCCAAAAGTCTACTATTTGATGAATAACTCTTTAGGAACAGTAATTCATTGGCGATAATTGTTATTTCAGTTTAGAAATAAACATAATTTACAGACACAAAAGATATTGATTCAATATTATTAGAATTTTAATTAAACCAGATGTGTTATTTACTGTTGTTCACAATAGAATTTAATTATATATGATATGATAAATTACTAACATTCTAAAGTACAGATTTAATACTAATCAAGATTATTTTGTAGAATAAAATAAATAAACATATCTAAAAAAAACTTATCGTCCTTTTTAGGACATTATTTTTTTTATAAAAATGATATGATCAGATCTAGAAGATTATCGTTTTATTTTTTTTTTCAATGAAATATCTTTGATTGAAACAGACAATTGTATATAGCTCTAGTCTTATCTTATGTTTATCAAGGATTACAATAATTAATTAAGTCTATGACAAAATTATGTACGCATACTTGGTTGAATTAGGAGAAAAATTCCATACTTCATTATTTCTTTTAACCTTAAGTTATATCATATTTGATAAGAAAACAACAATTACATACAATGTCATTCATCAAAATGACATCTTTATAATAAAAATCTGAATATTTGTTAGATTAGACGAAACAAAAAAAAACATTCTTTTTGCTTTTTCTCTAAACAAAAAAAAAAAGAATATTTTACTACCTAGTGATACATGACAGCATATACCATTTCTCTTCTTTTATTGACAAATGACAAAAACCATCAACTTTCAACCTTTATCAAATGTCTTCGCTATGGGCTATTATGAAGTGTAAACATCAATCACATGCTTCGTATAACTATTACAGATGCAGTAATATATCAAGGTATTGGTTTATTAACACTAATTTTACATCATATAACGAAGAAAAAAAAAAAGAAGCATCATTAATATTCATTTACTGATGACAGACAACAGTTTTTAATTCTTATTAAAAATAAAATTGATCTAATCAATCTATCGTCTATTTAAAACATGATGAATTATGCTCCTGCAAATCAATTTTAATAAATCGTCACTGTGAAGAAAAATTTTTTTTTGTTTTTTTGTAAGAATGATTCAAAGGACAAGGTTGATTACATTGTATTCATTTGATAAAACCATCATGATGTATTGATTATATCGTTTATTAATAATAAAATATTTTAAGTTTTGATTATAAATAATTCAAATAAAACTAAATATCAAATTGAGATCTTGAGATATACGTAATATTTCAATATTGTTGATTGAATGATAATGAATGCCTTATATTCGATCTTGACGAAAGATATTTATGACATCATAGAATGGATAGAAAAATCATTTTATATGGTGGGAACGTCCCGACTAGAATTATATGCATCCTATCAGATTTGTCTTCTACGGATTACAGACAATATTCAATTATCAGCGTAATTATTTTATGAATATATAGTGGTTATGGGTGTATAGATGACTTATTAATTAATTCGTATCTTCAAATGTGGAGAATGTATCTAAATAAGAAACAAACTATTGAATACTCATGCTTCTTTTTCATGGTTGACATTGCTCATATTTCTTTCAATAAAATAAATGTCAGATGATTATTTAGTTAAAAACAATTTTTCATTAAAATCTCTTTCAAAAATTAGTTAGAAACGAGTTTTTATCGGTTTAAAAAAAAAAAAGTTCTAGCTGTACGTTAAATATGATAGTCTAATCTTATTGGTTATTGACTAAGAATTTCATCTGTCGACCTCCATAAACAGATGTTAGCTAAAACTGATATATCTAAAGATAATCGATTTTTCATATGTTTTTGTAGACGTGATCAGACAAATCCTCATAAGTCAGATAGTTTTCTTAATATATATGTAAATAAAAACCTTGGTATAAAATAGATAAGAGATTACAATTTCTTTATAAAACTTTATTTAAATCGGATGCAATTATTCTTGAATGAAAAATTTGATAACAAATTTTTTATCTTCAAACTCAAACAATAAAATGAAATTGATAAGTTTTAATCGACATTTTCTTGTTTTTTTCATGATTTCAATAACTTTCACAGATACTATTAAATAAATGTGTGTCATTTTCACAATAGTTTATTTTGTTATTCAAACATACAAAAAAACTTATCGAATGAGAAAATTTTCGCATCATATGGTTTCATCATTAAGTCAAATACTTATATAATATAATGCGTATATTAAAGACACATAAAAAGAAAATTCAATTTTCAAATAATGTTTTTCCTAGAAATCTAGAGAAAGAACAGCATCACACCACCATATAGACAAGAGACAAAAGAAAAAAAAGTCTTATATTCAATTTAAACAGCAGACGATGATAATAACTGAATTTCGTTTATTAATTGTTCATTCTAAATAATAAAAAAAAAAAAACATCAAAAGAATTATTCTTATTTTCAAATAAATAATATACATACATGTAAACAATATTTTATAAAATCATCTAAACTAATACTTCCAGAATGATGAAGATCAAGTTTTTCAAATAAAACACTTGAATGTTTTTGAATTGTTTCTTCAGTTACTGGTTGATGAATATAAATATTTGATCCAAGAAGATCATATAATGAACGAACAACCGTTTCAAATGTCTTATTAAATAAATAGAATAAATAATATAAACGAATATGATAAGATATATCATACTTGTTTTGTTAATTGACCATCATCATAAATATCATAGAAACGAAAGATCCAATGTAGTTTTTCCTTGATACTACCACGTACCAAGATTGATAATGTTTGGATATAATCCTATATCAAAGCAAAAGAGTCTGATGATGTTTATTGTTTTTTTTTGTTATTAAGAAAACAAGTATTTAGATACATTCGACTCAATAGGATCCTGAGGATAATATTTCATGACTCAATCTTCTCATTATATTATTCTCATAATTTTGATCAAAAACAATACTTTCAAACTTTTCTTTTAAATAATCTTATATTAATTAATATATTATTTTAATCGTTCATATCTATGTTAAATCAAGACTTGAATAACCAATAGGAAAGAAAAAAATGTGAAATATTTGTTGTTTTTCTTCCTTTATATGTTGATTATTCTTATATTTATATGAGAAAATTACTTCAAATGTAAAATACATCCGTTTCCGTCTATCTAAAACACGAAATAAAAAACTTGTATAATTTTGACAATTGCCATGCGGAAAAAAATGTGAATAAATTGTTTGAAATTCTCGTTGAGTAACAGCACCATGTGGACATTCCTATAGAAATTAAGAAAATTATTTTTTGTTTTTTTTTTTTTTGGTTTTCAGAAAAAAGAAATTTTGTCATACCTGTTTAAAACCTTTATAAAGTAATCGTATTTCAGATTTACTAAATTTTGTTATTCGTACAATTTCTTCTATACTTTTTGGTACTTTACGTATTTCAACTGGTAATAACGATGAATCGTCAGCATCATCTTCTATTGTAAATAAATATCAACAACATTAGCATATTACCAACTTATGTCAACATCATTTTAACATTCTCTATTTCTTCAATATACGCAATCTTATTATTGTTTTATGATGTCTTACTACGTACATAAAGCATAAAAATAAAGAAAAGAAATATACGGAAGGAAAAAAAAACTTGTTTCGACATATATCTCATTATTCTTCTTCGTCTTCATATACTATTCTGTCGATAAACAACAGATGTTCCATAGGTTTTATGTTATTATACAAAGACAAGTAATATATTGTCAGTAGATAGAAAATTCTCATAGTCTTCTAAACAAATCATATGGAACCATCTTTCCGTTTTATTATCTACTTGACACTAGGATACTTATTTCAAGATATTACTAATGTGTCAATTATCAAATCAACACTCAGCATGACGTGGAATCAGGTGTCAGTTTAATTACTTACGCTCAAATGAATCCATTGACATATTTAATTTTGATGAATCGAATAACGATTGACTGACTGAATTTGCTTAAGGAGTTTCTTTTTTTTTTTTGGTTTATTTCATTGAAGATAATCGTAGATTGTTACATATTGATGTATGTAAGGAAGATATCATAATTAACGAAATTTATTGAATAATAGACGAAAAAAAAAACTTGTTTTTTTTTTTGTTGCTGTTGTTGTTTGTAATAAAAACCTGTCTTGCTTTATGCTATTGTGTATATGCAGTTAAATAGATTGCTTTACTGCTTGACGATGGCGCCGGGTTTTTTTTTTATTGTTTGATTTATCTTCTTCTGACACCCAGTAAGTAATACACGATATGGAACAGAGAATAAGGAGAAATGTAGAAAAAAGAGGAAAAAAAAAATAATCTTTGTCTCTCATCGTATTAGCACAGCGAACGCAGACGACCAAGAGTATACTTAGTATATACGAGATTCTCAAACAAAGAGTGGAAAATAAGAGGAAATAAGAACAAAAGTCAAGTCTACTTTTGTTAGACACATTGTCTTATACATTCATTTTCGTAATGATTAATCAAATATGACTTATTTGAATTTCACATTTTATTTCTTCACCCGAAAGTATAAAAATATTCGTTATTTAAAAATGTTGTCGATACTTCATTCACATCACTGAGATGATATACTTGTTTAATTATCAAGGGAAGAAAAAAAAAATTAATTCAACTGTTCAACACATCATGTAATAAATAAAAGATAAGTTGAATGTCTCATATCAATCTGAATAAATCATCCTTATCGATGATTATTTTCTCATTGAAAGTATAATAGATTAGAAAGAGAGAGAGAGAGAAAAAAAAGGCAAGAATCTTAAGGAAAATATCACAACACTGAGCTATAAATATATCATTTGTTAAATTTACAAAAGTTATTTTATATTTCATATTAAAAAAAATTTATCAAGTTGACATACGTTTTATTTATATTTTTATTAAGAATTAAAAAAAAAAGACAAAATAAATTCAAACTTGAGGATTATTTTTGAAAAGATATTCAGCCTAAAAACAAAAATCAAATTTTAAAATATAAATCTATAAAAATCAAATTACAAACCACAAAATCAACTGGATCTTCTGGTCGTACTTGACAACATTCTAAACAAAACAAAAAATCCAATTAACTATTCTTATTAAATATTAAATAAATATACCAATTAATGCTTTTGTTAATGTTGGCATAACATGTGCCATAAGATAATTTCTTAATGGTGTTGATTGTGCATCAAGCATTTCAAATTCTTCACGTTTTATTTGTTCTAATTTTGCTGTCCATTCTTTTTGTTTTTTCATACGATCATTAGCTGCTTCTTGTTCATCACGTTCACGTTCTTCACGTTCTTCACGTTCACGTTTTTCTTTTTCATTTAATTCTTTACGTTTTGTATGTTCTTGTTCTTCAGGTGTTGGACCATAATTATGAGGTTCTTTAACACGTTCCATGATTTTTTCAACTATATTTCGATGATTTATACTTCGATCATCATCAATTTCTATGAAAGATACAAAAATAGATCTAAATCTTATTTGTTCTTAGGGCATCAAGATAATCCTAGATCAGATAGGAGAACATATTTTTTTGTTTTTTAATATGGATATTATTATTCATCAAAAATGACATCTTATCAGATCTAATTCTTTGTATATATATATATAAGTAGAACAATCGTTATCTCTAATAATCAACAAAAACTAAATTATATTTCGATCAATAAGTTTTTCTAGGATAAAAGTCAGAATGATAACTTTATTAATATTTGTTTGTTTTTTTTTTCGGAATTCCAAAAAAGAATATTCTATAAAGAAATATTTTATTCAATAGAAAATAATTTCTTACTTATTGTTTCACCTGGTCGATCAACATCTTCGAAAAATTTTCCTGGATGTGAATCATCACCAAGTTCATTATAAATTTTTAAACGACGTTTAAATTCTAATTCAGTATTATGTGTACCGGCAACAACTTTTTCTGGTAAATGCATAATACGTTGACGAAGAAATTCATTACTTGCATCGAGTATAATAACATGTTCTAAAAACAACAAAAATTCAATTTAATTTTAAATAAAAACTATATATCTAAACAAACCAGGAATAATTCGTTCATTTACTGGTGGTTTTTTATCTTCAGCATCTTCTTCTTCTATATTTTTTCAATAACATAAAAAAAATTTTTAATAAAATTTTGAAATTTATTTATTTTTTTTTTAAAGTATTTACCTTCTTCACCAGATGCTTGAAACAAAAAGAAAACAAAATAAATATACGAAAATTTTAAAATATTTCTTTTTTTTACCTCCAAATAAACTTTGTGCTTGATCTAATGTTTTTGGATAACCATCAAGTATATAACCTTGATTTTGACATGGTGGTGACATAAGTTTTATTTTAAAAAGTTGTGTTAAAATATCATCATCCAAACGTGCTAAAAAAAGAAACGAATATGATTCAAATACAAAAAAAAAAGAAGAAACATACCATCTTTTGAATCACGTCGAACTTCTTCAAGTTTTTCTAAAATACTTCGTGCTTCTTCAATACGTTCTGCTAATGTTTCATCAACATCTTGATCATCAGCTTCTTCTTCATTTTGTTCACTTTCACCATCACGTTTTACTAATTGTTCCTTAAAAAAAAAAAAAAAAATTTTTTTTTTTTTTTTTTTTTGTTTTTTACCAATTCATTTTTCGTATCTTCAATAACATCTTTTATTTGAAGATGATGTAATTTATATTCTTGTGCTAATTGTTTTGCAATTGTCGTTTTTCCTGATGCTGGTGGACCAAGAATACAAATTTTAATTGGCTAAAAATTAAAAAAAATCATTTAATTTGATTTTTTTCTTTTTTTTTGTTCAAATTTTAATTTAAATTACTGTTAATTTTCGTTGAATACGATATTCATCAATAATCTTTTGAATATTTTCTGTAATACCATTTTCACAATGCCATTTTATATTCATTTGTTCACGAATAAAAATTGGTTCAAATTGCATATTAGCAAGTAACATATCATAATCAGCTTGCTAATAAAAATAATGAATTATAATATAACAAATAAAAGGGACATGGTCGAAAATCATCGATTTTTGCTTCACGCTGAAAACATTATAAAATGAAAGTATCTTAGGAATGTCGTGGTCCCCTTCAGGAACATCAGAAAATTTATTTTCGAATTTCAACTTGAAACTTTGCATAGAGATAGATCTTAACGAAAATAGTTTATTATGAAAGTTTGAGATTTTTTCATTGTTCCTAACTGAAAATATGAATTTCGAAAACTGCCCGTATATATGAGCAATGTAAAAGACACACTTTTACCATAGTTGTATTTTAGGATAGGAACAATGAAAATATCTGAAACTTTCATAATAAACTATTCTCGTTAAGATCTATCTCTGTGCAAAGTTTCAAATCGAAATTCAAAAATAAGTTTTCTGATGTTCCTGAGGGGGACCACGGCATTTTGTTAAAGATTTCTGACATTTCTTAAGATTTTGTCCACAAAAGGGAAGAGATCTTAATAAACCGTTATACACTACTAAGATACTTTCATTTTATAATGTTTTCAGCGTGAAAAAAAATCGATGATTTTCGACTATGTACTTTTGTAAAAAAAAAAAAAAAAAATGCGAAAACCTCGGATTTAAATCCGAGTGTTATATGTACTTCAAAAAGTGAACAGGTATATTCACTTTGTTTTTTATCATCTGAGACATATCTAGGCAATTTGCTTTCTGGATGCAGTTTTTGTGCATTTTGAGACCTTTTTCAGGCGATGTTTTGCTAGAAAGCTACGATTTGGTTCAAAACTAATATCAGATTCGGAATCAGCGTTAAAAACTGAGTCGATTTATATATGTTGTGAATAATTCTGAGAAAAATTGTTTTTTTGAAAAAATCCCTGTACCCCCTCAGGGATGGTGTGGTCAATAATGACAATTTTTTCGATAACTCAGCCATTTCTTGACGGATCCTTCTCATCTTCGAACTCGATCGAGACATTGATGAGACTGAACTGTGTAGAAAATTTCATCACGATCGGACTCTTCTTTCGAAAGTTATCGTGTAAACGGCCGGACACACTGACCGATTCTATAGTGTACTCACTTTTTGAGTACACAAAAAGAAAAATACACAATCATCTATTTTAAATTTCGCCTCAAAATATATGTATAACATAAAGAAAAATCTTTTACCGATATATCTCGATTGAGCATTGCATCTTCTTGATCAACAATTTTTATTTTACCCATTCCAAGTGTTTGACTAACTTTACGTGTAATACGTATTAATGTATCTTTACTTGTATCAGTAGCAACAACATAACGTGTTTTCAATTGACGATCAGCCAAATTTTGTAAAACACTATATAGAAAGCAAAAGAAACGAACAAGAATTTTTATTATTTATATTCATACGCAGCAAGATCTATAACATGAATTGTTGGTAAAAAATTTCCACCTTTACCAAATACTTGAAGTTCAGATGCATTATGCCATGCTGATTTAAACATATAATGAAAAACATTTTCTTCCATTCCATATGTTAAACCAGTAGCAACAATATATGTTGTTAATTTTTTTTTATTTGTTAAACCAAGTTTAGTTATTAATTTTTCAGCACTATGATGTTCTTTAAAATTTGGATGAGCTCGACGACGACGAAATTCATCTTCAGAAAATGGTACTTCATCCTAATAAAAATATAAAACAAAAAAACAAAAAACAAAAAAAAAAATATTATCTTACTTCATTTGGTTGTGTTTTTGCCCATGTCATTACAGTTGAAAGAAGAATAAATGTTATTGGATGATCAAGTTCATTTATAATTGATTCTAATTTTTGACAAGTCCATACAGCTTCATCAATCTAGAAAATATTTAAAATAATAAAATAAATTCTACATTATAATGTACTGTATATCGAAATTATAAATAGAAAATACTTTGTATGCATGTCATAATATATAATTAAGACTCAAAATTTTTGATAATTCTCAAACATATAAATCTAATAATGTGTTTTATGTTGTATATACATATATTTATATGATATGACATCATAAAACACAAAAATGACTACCATGAGACACGCTAGTTTGCAATAACTTTCATAGTACTTAAGAATTGAACTAAAATATATTATATGAGTATTGATCTTAACTGTGACGTGGTATAATCTCTTGTGACACATAATTTTCAGTGTTGGTTGATTACAATAAATTGATAAAATAATTCAAATGATATGTCAAACTACACATATGATAGAGAACTATAGATCAGAGACAATGGAAAATCTCCTGGAACACGTAGCGTGTCAATTAAATTTTCAAATTATGCTTTTCTTGTCTGAATTATTTTTTAATCGTGCGTGATAGAAATTCACTATAAAAATGTTAATGAGTGTTCTTTTTGAAAATAAATTACTTCTAAAGGAATTATTATTTACATAACAATGAGAGAAATACAAAAAAAACGAGTTAAATACATTTAGACTCAATTCTTTTCGTCTTCATATTTCATTATGTTTCTTAGAAATATATACTATCAATATATATAAATATGAATCTATACTGAAAATCATACTTGTTCAGGATCTTGAGTAATATCGTAAATGATAACATTCATTTCTTTAAGATAATCACCTAATTGATTACGATCTTTATACTAAAAAACAAAAAGAAAATTAATAGATATGATTTGAATTATAATTTAAATAATATACTTGAATAATTTCTTGAACAAATGGTGGTCGTTTATAACCTTGACTATTTTTAATTGTTCCTGATATTTTCCAACCATCATCAATAGGATGTTCATCATATAATTTTTTTTGTTTTTCTTCAGCTTGTTCTTCTTCAAGAGCCTCTTCTTCTTCTACAGTTTCACCTGTTGCACCCGGTTTTGCTCGTGCAAATATCTTCAAACAACAAAAGATTTCTATTTTAATAGAAAAAAGAAAAAAGAAATTTAACTACATACTCGAGCAATATGTTTTCCATGATATGAATCAAGATGATTAATAAAAATCTTCTTAGGTTTTTGTGGTACTGCTTCTTCTTCTTTTAATTGTTCTTCACCTACTTGTTCCTCATCTGAGTCGTCAGCCATGATCGAATGTAAAGTGATAATGTTTGAAACAAAAAAATAACCATTTGATACTTTGGTATCCAAGTTACATCCTCAATGTTAAATAAGTTTATTGATGTATAGATGTCGTTAATGACTATTCTATCTTTTTTGTTTGTGCCATCAGAAACTAAAGGCAACACTTACAGTCTAACATCGAATTAGTGTAGTAGAAACAAGGAAATGTCGATTATTTTCTAGATTAAAAAAAAAAGCATCTTTTCTTTTCCAATCAAAATATATCTCATTTTTTTTTAAACAGTAACAGATTTTCTTACAATAATTTCTAAATGTGAATGATGCAATCGCTTGTTTTTCTTTTAAAATAACGCAAATTTCGCTAATGTGTATCCTTATTAAAAAAATTAAATGAAATACTTCTATATTCTATTTAGTATCCTTGCTTATCATGGTTTCTGCTTTAAAAGATTTGAGATACAAAACAAAAATTAGGGTGTGAATGTAGATATTCTTTTCACCCACACTCAAACTGCGTACCATCAAAAAGGATCCATAATATAAAAAGTTTCGTGTGTTGAATTACTGAACTTGATTTGAGTAAACAAGTATAGCGTTTGGATATTGATGAGAATGAATAAAACAGCTACAGCTATCCTAGGAATCAAATTCTAATTGATTAACAATTTATAATATCATGAAAAGTGGTTCTCATAGAGCTCTAGTTTACTCTATATTCATGATCAAGTGAATTTTATTATCTATAATCTTGACTGTAAAGAATGGGCTTATATTTTTATCAAAAATATTAATGACAGTTCATAAAGAAAACTCGAAGAAGTGTCAATCACCAATGCCCATGTATCCTTGAATGCGATCTGTAGCTACGTTGGTCATTTTTGCTACTATTTGTTGTGTCAATTTTTTCTTCAGGTCTGCTTGAGCAGCATTGAATTTTTTGCTAATATAGACAGCGACTGTCTCTGGGACAAAGTGAAGGACGAGTTCCAGTGTACCACCATCTCCACGTTTTTCATTTATCATAGGAATGGTTACGGTATGAAGCCATTCTTTATTCGTATTCGTATTTAATTGACCACCTTGATCATCGTCGAGCAAATTCAATGTTCCATAAGCCAAAAGATCATCTTTGCCAATATCTGAATCCCATACTTGAACGTATAATGCTTCTAATTCTTGTGCTACAGGAAATAGAAGTTTCTCATTGAAAATCGGATGACAACCATCGTGAATTTGTGTCTTCTGATATGTTTCTGTTTGTTGTGTCTGCTTTCCAGCCTTTACTTTCGATTGATTAGTGAGAGGTTCAAGTGAAATGATTGCATAACAATCGTTTTCGCCAAATAAATCACTCTTGATTAAATTGTTGGCTTTCAGTACAGTTACTGATAGAATACCCTTTAGACGTTGAGAAGATGATGCAGCCATTCTGTCGTTGTTACCCTTTGTCGAAACACGTCTTATTCAAAGTGAAATAAGAGATTCGAATTCTTTCTCTCTACAGGTAAATTGCATACGTTTTTCTTCGTTCTGTGCTGTATATCAATATGCATGGACACTTGTTTGATGATAAGTAAAGTTTAATGACTCTTTACTCTATCTCTTGCATATTGATATACAAAATGATGCAAATATCGCCCGATGCATACACGATTTCTACTCTTTGATCAATACAAAATTTTTCTTATCATATTGATTTTGTTGCAACGAAAAATTGCCAAGAAAACATATGTCAATAAGCTGTTAATACTATCTCTCTGTGACATCTATCGAAAGAGTATGATGACGAAGACTAACAACTGTGGAACAAAGGTAGCTGAGAGTAAGATTGTGAGGGCGTGTCTTCTCTTCACTCACATCCTAATTTAAGTAGAATTTCGTGGAAAAGAAGGATAAAATAGCACGGTTATCTTAATGGATTTCGCTAATACTTACAACATATGTTCGTCAGATTGCTAAATTTTGATGTTGTCATCAGCGACGATCCTTTTTCAATACTACTCACCTGTCAGCTCTTCGTTAAATAGAAAACTTTATCGAGAGTAGAGAATATTCTTTTATTAATCTTCTCCCCATAAACAAACGTGAGATTTGATTGCACTATCTAATAGTATTGCCTTACTTTGGCAGATACGACTAGGAAATATTAAAATTAACTGATACTTTGAAATAGAATTATCTCATACATAATGATTATATCAAATAGACAGATCATATAATTGACGAAAGCTTAAAAAGAAAGATCTCAAAGGTTTTTGTTGAAATACATTTTATTATCGTTAGGTACGAAATGAAAATAAATAGAAATATTTACTAATAAATTTCTTAGAAACCCTGGAATATGGTGGGTATGGCGCAGTTCTCGTATGTAGGCGAGTGTTACAGAAAAAGGAGAGAAAACCAACATATAATAAAATTACGTAGAGAAGAGAGCACAATATTAAATTACACATATATTATAGGTTCTTTAATGTATTAAAAACCATTTCTTTAAACAGTTTTTCATCTGCTTGTACACAAATTGTAGCATTAGGTGCTTTCTTCATTACACCGAGTTCATCAATAACCAGTACACCACGAGTTAATTCACCTTGTGTCTCTACATCAACATATCGTGATAGCATTTGTTGTCCAATACTTGGATCAATTAAAATTGCCATTGTAAGTGCATCGGGATGATTGGAACCATTCATTTTCTGGCGTTCTTTACAAAATATTCTTCGTATACGATTAATCTTTAGAAAAAAGTCAGCAAGTTTTGTCCCTAGCTTTTGTACTTCTTCATAGTCAGCATCCGTAAATATGGAACTGTAGCAGCTAATGTCAAACCCAGCAGTTGTAATTGGAATACCTGATTGAAAAACGATTCTTGCCGCCTCCGGATCAACCCATGGATTATATGTTGCTACTGGTGTAACATTACCATAAAATTTGTAACAACCTCCCATGAAATAAATAGAATTTATTTGACGGGCAACAGTAGGCTTACGTAATAATGTTAAAGCGATATTAGTAAGAGGTCCGATTGCAACCAAAGTTATTTCACCAGGATATTTTTCGACTAATCTAATAATAGCATCTACAGCGTGCTCCGTTTCTGGTTTCTGCTTGGGATCTGGAAAAAATGAATCACTCATTCCATCATTGCCGTGTACATAGGTCGCTGTACCATGAGTTTGTCGCACTAACGGTCTTGAACAACCTTGATAAACCGGAATTTCACCATTACCTTTACCTGCTATCTCCAATGTATAGAGTGCATTTTTTGTTTGCTGCTCAAAGTCGACATTTCCAACTGTTATTGTAATAGCCTCAATTTTTATGTTAGGAGCGAATAGTGCTAGCAAAATGGCAAGTGTATCATCGGTAGCTGTGTCAGTATCAATGATAATTTTTCGGCGTGCGTCAGAAGAGGCCATAGTAGCTGAAGTTTCGACTACGGACTGCATAAGATGTATCTAAAAATCACAAGCAAAGTGAGTCAGTTGACCTATGAATGAATTCTGTAAGTGACAATTTATATCACTTTTGGCTGTCAAGTTAGCTATAATGAGAGGATAAAATAATATTGTGACGAAGTTCCTTCTATGCTACTGAATGAAGAGTGTGCAATTGTCAATATTCTTTATTACTTGTGTATACTCCGTTGAAAAAGACTAAAGTACAGCTCCTTAAAACGCACATCGAAAAAAAAAGAGAACAGAACAAACAAACAGAAAGATAAGCCGATAACTATATTACAATGTCAATACCTGCATAACTGCTTGAGAACATAAAAGAGATAAGCGGTCAATACCGATGCTGTTCATTAATTCTTGCTGCTAGACATCAAGCATCACGTAGCAAAAAAGCTATTTTGAGAGTGGGCGTGCTTAGGTTGATGTAGGTGAGCAGAAGACTCACATCCACTAATTACATCGTTAAATAGTCAAACTTTTACTTTCATTCGATGTTTCGTTATCTAGATGCACGCATACAACAAAAACCAATATCAAGAGACTTGTAATAAAAAGAGTCGTACTCAATCTAGAGATAGCATTATATCTAATGTCGGCTGGAGCATCGTGTAGGCTATGAAAAACTGTGTAATACCGAGAAGTCAGGTTTTGAAACATACACTCAAATTGTCACATCAAAGCCGCGCTGAATGTTGCGCGTGTGTATTGATGCGAAACAGAGCAGATGCCAATAATACGCATACTTGGTCCAAGAATGGCCTTGAATTTAGTCTATCAAATGCAGTTTTTAATGCTGACTACAAATCTGTCATTAGCTTCAAGCTTTCGATCAGATAAAGAAAGTTCGAGAAAGAATATGAACCACATAGATTATGATAGATAAACACGTGTGAAAAAAACATTTTTATCGATTATTTCAGCCTCATGAAAAGCACTCCTCAAGTGTTTTATTGTTTTGCGTTTCTTTGTGTACGAGGGTGTAGATGTCAGTGTGCATGGGTAAGTGTGTGTATGTGGGTATGAGTATGGGTGTAAGGATGTATTCATTTCAGTCACCTCCCCTCACACTCATACTCTCACCCTACGCCCTAATCTAACAATACTTTCAGGTTTATTATTTAAAGGACCCTGTCGGATAAGGTCACTACTTCTGAATTAAGAAACCAACTATACCGTCTTGTAGAGCTTTTCAAGGCGTATCGAATGGTATATAGGAAATCTGTTTCTCAACATATTTAGAGAGAGCTAGATTAAACATACTGATGAAGGGGTAGGGTCGAAAAATGATGACATTAGCTTAATCAATGTTGATACAGGGTGTGGGGTGTGGGTGTGGTGGTGTGTGTGGGTGTGGATGGTGTGGGGTGGAGTGTGGGTGTGGGTATAGGTGTGGGATGGGTGTGGGTGGTGTGGGTATGGGTGTGTGGAGTTTGGGAATGTGTTTCTAATTGTACCCATACCCACCCCACACCCATACCCACACCCAAAAATGAACACTTTTCAGGGTGTGGGTATGGGTGTGGTGTGGATGTGGGTATGGGTGTGGTGTGGGTGTGGGTAGGGGTGCGTGGAGTTTGGGAATGTGTTTCTAATTGTACCCACACCCACACCCACCCACAGCCACCCACCCATACCCACCCCACACCCATACCCACACCGCACACCCCCACCCACACCGACACTCAAAAATGAACACTTTTCATACGTCTAAACGTAATCAACGTAGGTATTTTTACCCTAGTCCCGCCATAGAAGTGTGGATGAAGGTGAAGTAATACTACCCACACCTACACCCTCGACACAATTTCCTATATA